ATGGGGTTCCATTTTCGATATACTTATAAATGTACTCCATTCCTTAAGTTGGAAATTAATAGTTTGTGATTTGGCTATAGTGTACTGGTCTCTGAATCATTTTGGATTATATGACTGTATGGAAAAATGAGTTAAAATACAGCAATAAAGTGTGGTTACTAGTAATCCAACATCAAAAATCTGATCCAAGATTGTTTTCCAACCCTTATATACTAATAGATTTCTTCCAAAAAAACAGCTTAAAAATATGGAATTATAAGAAAAAAACACACCAATAAAGCATTTTTTAAAAATTATGGAATCCACCTTTCTGTAGTGAATACCATAGTGGTAACTACTTGTAAGTGACCTAATAGAAACATCAATTACAAGCTTTGGCAGAGAACTAATGGGTCCCACCTTGCATATCTCTTGATACATCCAGCTCATTACTACTATCTGTTATACCGGTAGTCAACAATTTCTCAAAATTCATTAGTAAATAATGAAATTTATTAACTATCTTCCAGAATAATAATGATAATCATACAAAAGGAAACAAAAAGCTCCAAACTCTGTCTGGTATTAAGACTGGCCTCAATGAGTTCTGTAAATAAAATGAAATAAAGAATAATGTATTTATGTTGATACATGAATAATAATGTACTTGTCTGAACTTTTGTCTGTGGTTTTGGTCTCACCAACGATTTGAAATCTTATAAAACCATACTCTGAGATTGAATAAATACTCTAGAAGAAAATTGTAAAAAAATCTGGAAATTGATTTGTGTGCTTGTTCTCAATAATGAAGTTACAGGCCCAGTACACAATGCTAAATATCAAGTATCATTACTAATGTTTGTTATAGTCAACAACTTCTCAAAATTCATCTATAAATAATAATATTTATTAACTTTCTCCCAGAAAAATAATAATAGTCATACATGAAACAACAAAAACAAAAAGCTCCAAGACTTGCATTAATGAATTGGGAAGGGAAGTGACATAGGTTTTTAGCTCATAATGGAAAAATTTATCTCTTGCACTACTGGTTCTAAAATTATTTATATGAATTTCTGCTTTGTTAAATAAATACAGTCACATAGTCCTGTATGCTGGGCAATTAATATCAAAGTGTTGTTTATCTTCAACTTTGTTTTGTGTACATTAGTCACATGTTTTAGAAATGAAACGCTAAATCCTCTGTTAGGTCAATTTTTGCATGGGAGGGAACTCGGGTGGAGGGGAGAACCATCAAACTTTTGAAAAAAATTGCTGCTGGAGGAAATCTCAAATAGAATGTATTTCTAGAAATAAAATGTATAGAACTAGAAATACAAGGTGGTTTGTACTTGCAATATATATAGAAAATGGTAGTTCTTTATAGTAAGGTGTTTCTATGGTCAAAATAATTTTGATTATAATGGTTCAGTATAACATATAGTTATATGCACTAAAATTCTTCAACAAAGCTACATGTCCCTTGAGCAAATTTTCCTGAATACACAGAATTTACAAAATCCTAATTTAGCTAAAATGCTAACAACTTACTTTCTTATAAATTAGCGACATCTTGAATTAGCTTTATAATTAGTGTACTGTAAAGAGGTCAATTATTCACTGGGTTTTAATTTAGTTAATTTCGCTGACTGAAAAATGCGCTAAATTAAAACCCAGTGAAAATGTAAAATTGAGCATAGAACACATTATCTATCTAAACCGTGAATTTAAAACCTACTGAGTATGCCTGAAATGGCAAATCAGCGAAATTTAAACCCAGCGATAATTAGTCATTTTACAGTAATATAACATTCTAGCTAAAAAGGCACGTTTTACATACAGTACACTGTACTGATGGAAATACAGTTGTAGAAAGAGACTGTACTTACCAAATTACATGTACAATGTAAATATATATATAAGTGCACATGTTGTGTGTTTGTTAAAACAGTAAACATGACCCTATGGTGTGATATGATTGCACATTTCGTAGTCAAAACTATCTGCATATTGACATCAGATATCCATTTAGCTTTGTTCACTATTTCTCTGTATTCCTTGTTATTCCATTATCCACTGTATAGTGTAAATCAATAAATTTATGCCCAATTGTTGCTGCTGGATATTATGATGCCTTTTATACAGACTATTTACTAATTGTCTTCACCAAAACCGCTGCTCTTCAGAGATAGTGTTAGAAATAACTATAACATTTCACGACTGACTCTGACTCATCGAATTCACCTCTCGCCGAATAAAACAGGTTTGTAGCGTTTTTGTTGATACATAGTTGTTGATAACAAAGTCGATGACAGTGTATACTCATAAAATACTATGGACCTTTGACTAGAGTTAATTGGATGTTGCCTTTAGGCTTGGCGTGCCGCGAGTTTTTTAGTTATTAGTTGAAACTAGGTTCTGTGGCGCCAAATTTGTTAGCGTATCGGTTGTTAGGTGACTGCATCTAGCAGCAACATCAGTTAGACTTTAATAATAGGACTGAACTTTGTTAACCTGAAAAAAGTTGTGCCACCACCTGTCACAATATAGGTTGATTTTAAAATTATATTTCCTGTATATTGATTCCTCTATTAAAGCCAAGCTTGCTGAGATTGCTAGCATTTTCTGTGTATTCCTTTATTACACTCAATTACACTCCATTAATTAACTGAGATGGTATTCCTGGATTGAAGATGACCTTTATGAGTGAAGATAACCTCAACAAGTCAAATTGTTACACGTGTATCATTGTTAAGATCGCAGCTAGATTAAATACCATTGTAGTTCATTCACCTTGTCTCGTATATGTGAACGTTCTCCAGTTGCGTGACTATGTGACTATGATTGTGAAGTGTAACCTATCTAGACAAAACACTCTAGTCTTTCATACTTTCAACTTTTTCTTGAAAACTACAATTCTTATTGCTTCAATACTTGGTGTATACTTTGGGCAGACCTATCTTTGATTTGTTCATTTTGTGATGATATCTTCAATTTTCTAATTTTGATGAATATTTTTGTCATTTTTGGTAAAGAGATATTTTCAACTTCTTGTTGAAAACCACAAGTCTGATTGCTTTTATATTACATATATAGGTACTATATATTATATATATAGGTACTACATGTGGACCTCTCTCAAATTTGTTCATTTCGTGGTGATATCTTCAATTCTCTAATTTTGGTGAATATTTTTGTCATTTTTGGTAAAAAGTGATATTTTCGACTTCTCGTTAAAAACTGCAAGTCTGATTGCTTTAATACTACACATATTGTTCATTTTCTAATGATATTTTCAGTTCTTTAATTGAAATGTGCATTGCTAACAGTGGAGCTATCTCAGTCGACAGGCTGCTTGTTGAGCGATTTTGAAGCTTACAAAAATTATATTTATTCGATGGAATAATGAGAATTCTACACTTCTATCGGTATCGTTAACGTAAACAGTCTAAAAGAGTTCTTAAGTATAGAAAGATAATAAATAAAGAAAATTGGTTGTTTTTTTATGTGTAATGAGATTAGGGAATGTTTCTATAGCAACACCTTCAATCTGATGAGCTATCTTATTAGTGGTAAACCACATTTTGTTTCCATAGCAACATCCATCATCACTCTAATACTTCAGCATTTTTGCAGTTAATTTGTGTTGTTATTCGCAGTGCTCGTTAATTGGTTTGAAACAACTGAAAACCAGTTGCTTTTGTGAAACTCTGCTAATCCATCTTTTATGTTTATGCAATTTATAAACATCTTCTATACAAGATATACATTACCAATTTGTGTGTCCCAAGAAACAACTCTGAGCTAGCTATACATTTCTACATGACCCATGGTGCATGTTCATGTTCAAGTTCGGGGAATATTGCTCACAGAGTGAATGACATCATGGACAAGGACAAGGACATGAACATAAGGCCAGACTTTTTTTTTTTATTCCTTGTTTCTCGAGTTTTTATAAGGCATTTTTTTTTAAGGAGGGCGTAAAAAAAAAAAAAATTAATTCTTTTTTTCCATTAGATTTGTGTGATTCTCAAAGAATTGTAAGTGAGATCATTTATCAGAGAGAAGAAATGAAATAAAATGTTATTCCATGTATAACCTTGTTTCTCATCTGCGCGAGACTTCGGTACTTTGATCATGACACTCCCACGAAAATGGGAGGAAAAAAAATGAAGATAAAAATAAGTTTTTTTTAGCAATTTTTTGCACTAACAAGTCGGCGGGCGCGAGAAATTACGCTGAAATAAAATTTTATTTTTATTTCATTTTCGGCTCCTGTTCATTCGGCGGGTTCGCGAAACAAGGGATAATAAAAGTCTGGCCTAATGTATCGTGAACATAGACCATGGATGTCTAGCTTTATGAGAAAAATAAAATTATCACCTGAATTATGGTTAAACTTTTCAAAATTGTTAATAAAAAGAAAACTTTGAGCAAACTACCTTTCTTAGAAAGTAACCAACCAAAGTTGATATTGCTACTCATTAAATTTTTTTTTTCTAAAATCTATGTTGATTTTTTCTCTACAAATTGTTTGATTATGGTCTTTCCAAAGTGCTTTGCAATCGTTATAGTATACAAGCACGATTATGACTTAATATTGCAAAAAAAAACTAATTCTCGGGGGCGGACATCCAGGCATTTTCTTCGCATGGCAACCATCATGGTGAAAACAAAGGCCGAAAACTCTCAGAAAATAGTACTTTGGGATGGTTATTGAGACTCCCCTGAACAGTGTAACAAGATTACCCCTGCGCGTGTAACGCATATAAATTTAATTGTTTAGGATTACTTCAAAGTTGAGTTCCTGTTGTTTTCTCAAATTTTCACCAGCTCTTCGCTTGGCGTTTCGCGTTTCTCAGCAGCACGTGCGGACCCCATATAAATACATGGTACAGTGGTTCGCGTCTTAGCAACGTGGAACGTCTTGTGGCGTAGCTCCACCCCCGAAGATAGCCTGACAACTCAGTTATGAAGTGCTCCCCTCTATTGACCACATTTATTTTGATTTTGTCTCTCAGCAAGCAGTAAACCTCACGGAAGATTGGACGTCATTCATTGGTACTTCTATATCGCTGCAAGTGCCCAATGCTAAACATACGCTAGTACTAATTGAAGCCAATCTACCGCGCAAAGGAAAATATGGAAAACCCCTGTACCCGGATATTCCTTCAGACAAAGCAGTTAAGTTGTCTGAGTTATCTACGCCTCTTGCATGGAAAGCTGGTCAGCCATTTGGATTGCTGGTACAATCGCGTTTAGACGATTTTAGTGAAATTGGAATGGCGTTTCTTGAAGGTATCTTACAACTGGATGATGGTCTTCAAGTTGAACAAATGATGAGTAAGTCAATGATTTCTTTTGAGTAAGTCAATGATTTCTTATGAGTGAGTCAATGATTTCTTATGAGTGAGTCCATGATTTCTCATGAGTAAGCCAATGATTTCTGATGAGTAAGTCAATGATTTCTTAATTAAGGTCATTCACAGGCATTTGACCTACCAGTAATAAAGAGGGGCAACAAATTCATCACAATATTTTTGTTTGTGTCACATACCGGTAATTATCGATTTCGACATATGTCATCAGTTTTTTTTTATGGTTTACCTAATGAGCAATACTGAGAAACTGACTGAAAATATGTCTATAGGAATTTATGATGAAACATTATTTCATTAAAAAACAAAAAGTATTCATCAACAGAATTTCTAATAATTTGTGACAACCATCAGTATCAGCATAAAACTTCAGGTAAACCAAAATTAATTTAAACTTGCTATCAAAATTACTCAAGTTGGGTTAATGATGCATTTCAGTTTTGTTCAAAATGGCTGACTGGTGACCATTTTTTTATGAGTATTTTTCTGTTTTCTCAGATATACTTTCACAGATTTTGTTAAAGTTTAGTACAAAAAGGCAAGACGAAATGGGTTGCATGTTCTCTTTAGCTATTTTTGGATTCAGGGAAAGTTTAATTAATTGTCAGGTAAATCTATAAGAAAAACTAAAATCACAAATGTTTCCCTGGCATGTCTGGTCTGGTCTGGTCTGGTTTCATTCAAACTTGGTATGAACAACACTCATGATTTTGATTTGATTTGATTTGATTTGATTATAATATAACATAATTTTAATACACTACTATTACATCAGAGGTTACAGTGTGGTATTTTAAACACATCAGTACAACAAATGGAAGAATCTCTTCAACCGTTTCTCAGATATATCTTGGCAGAGTTTGTTTAAAGTTGTTACTTAGACATAAAGCAACACAATTCTCACACTGTACCATGGGTGTCTTGTGACTTAAACAAGTATGTAAAATGAGTTCATTGTTTATGAACAAAATTTGTACACATTTGTGCTTTACTAGAGGTTCCAGCGAACTTTATTATTAAATCATGTTTTGCACCATTTTATTTCCATAAATTTTTCATAATATCAATTCTGTAATTTTCATAAATTATTAATAATTTGGGATGAAATAAAATGTTTTAGATTTAATAAGTAATAAATGGGATGCAAATTTGTGAGCACAAATAGAAAAACCAGTTTATACAATTTTTTGTTGTATTGCATACACTCATTGATAAGTTTCGTTTTGTTTGATTCACAGGTGTCGGCATTGAAGGTCATGCATTCACATTACTTGAATATCTACCGGGGAGACAGCGATCACCATGTACTATTAAGGGGGAGAAAAGTCGGAGGCGGAGATCCAAGCTTATGGAAGAATCTCGGAGGGAAGGCTCGCAATTATCGAACCATACCACGTCTGCAACCTCACCCACCGGAAATAGCACCTTGTCACTATCACCTCAGTCAGCGGGACCACAGAAACATCTCCGCAGGCGACACTCCCCGCTGTTTTTGAGAAAGATGGAAGAAAAACAACGCTCACAGGAGTCATCACCCATGTCTAGTACAGCCACATCTCGTAGAGGATCGCAGGACTCTATGTCATCAGGTATTGAATTTTTGATGGACACATCGCATGACAGTACGGGATCCGCAGACGTCAACGCTATGTCAAGCATTACAAAAAGGAAGGGAATTCAGAAGCCACCTAACGTACTGGTGTTCACAGATGACAAATCAACAAACAAAAAACTATCGCAAGTGAAAAGTATGTTAGATATGTGTCTTGAACGGAACTGCTACACTGTGTACAATATTAACAGCAGTAAGCTCGTCTCACACCCATGGATTGACAATACTGTTGCGTTAATCATCGCAACACAGGTGGAGCTCTCAGACAACGTGAGGGACATCTTGATGAGATACCTTTACAGGGGAGGACGAGTACTCAGCCTGTGTGGCCATTTTCATGTGGGACTCAAAATGGAACTTAACCCAGACAGAACACTTGTTGAAAATATTGTATATAATTCAATAGACAATAGCCAAACTATGAACTTGGCAGTGAATTGTACGCGATATAGCTATAGACTTTCTAACATAGCGGGTCACAACGTACACGTGTTAGGTACGATGCAAGATAAACCCGTACTCTTACATGTGAATGTCGGCGAGAGTGGAATAGCCGTTCTTTCTCAGGTAAATTATAAATGATTATACATAGAGATGCATGATACATGTAAGTAAATTATCATTTCACTAGAGAAACAATTGCAATTGTCATATCGAAAAATTTAGTGTGTTTATATGGTACTAGAAAACACACCTAGAAAATCTACTAGATTGTGAAGAAAATCATCAATAATATTAATTTTTTTAGTGCCAAAGTCAACTTTTGTTATCAATGTTTTTTTTTTTCAAAATTTTGATCAGGATGTGTAGCCAATAAAAAATTAAGTCCATTTATGCAAAAAAAAAAATAGAAAAAATACATGAAAAAAATAAAATGATGTAACAAAATTAGGTTGCGCAAAGGTTAAATTTAAAAAAAACAATAACGTGCAATGGTTTGATTATATGTGTATAGTTGTAGTAGATATCTACGTACATGGCATACAGAGCCCAATGCCAAGATCTCACTGAATCACAAAACTTTGTCTCCAAATAGAGTTCCATTCTCGCTTGTCATTATGTTGATTGTTCCAGTTGCTATGGTTAGTTACACACATCAGTGGAACAGTAGATGTGATGACGAAATAGATTGGAACACTATTCAGTATCAGTGTACATGAGTTTTGAATGGCGCAGGTTTTAAAAAAATAGGTGAAAAAAAATATTGAAATTTTTCGCATTCATACAGGACCTTACAGTATGTATATAGCCATTCACATCGCTGACTTTGTGTTTGAATGAATGCGGAGCTTGACTGATAAGAACTTGTATATTTTGTTGCATTTGGTTCTCAAAGGCACCAACCATGAAAAATATATTGGGGTATTTTTTTTTAGATGTTCGTTTCTCTACATTTTCAATCACCTGACAAAAAAACAATAAAAAAAACAAAAATTTATCTCTGGTCAGCATGCATCTGTTCAACAACACTAGACCTGTATTTTGTATTCATGGTGTGAAACCTATATCTAAATTCTGTGAAATCTTACTTAACTTTAACTCCTCACTGATGACATCTGAGTCTGATTGACATCTAGGGTGACCTCATGTTGTCATGGGTCATCAAATGTAATGGAGAATCTTTGGACCATTTGATCTAAGACTCCCTAAGTTTGTGTTTCTAAATGCTTCTATCTGTCACTAGAGGGCACTCTCCAATTTCTCCACGTACTGTGTGTGCAGTTGCTTTGTCACTAGATGGTGGATAATTGATTTGCAGAGTTGCTTGTATACTAATTAGTTAATTTGCATTAATCATTTGATGAATAATATTATATGGATTTACATGACATACCTTGCCTAGATTTTTCAGGTTGTATTTTGCCATGGCCAAACTGGAAAATAGGCACTTTTCCGCTCTACTTGAAATTCTTCGTTTTTGAACCAAAATGTCAACCTACCTGTACATGCAAGATGTGGTGTTTTGTTGAAAAATACTCTCATATAACAGTATGGGCCAAGCAGTACTGTGGAATAATAATTTGAGAATAATTATTTAATTTTCATAAAATAAAAAAATAATTTCTACCTATCTACCCTACGTTTCTTTTCAATGTTACCAGAAACTCATTATTAATTTTATTTGATATATGTACCTTTTCCTTGAGTCATGCTGCCAGCCACTGCAATAAGACCAATATCTTTTGGTACCATATTCTGTAAACTAAAAAAAAACAAAAATATTTTTATATTTTGCACATGAAGTTTTTAAATTGTTAAATAAATGTAATTGTACTTGTCGTAAGGGTAGTTAGTAGTAAGTTTGTAGTCACTTATTTAAATTTTTTGGAAGGTTGTCATCTACTTAATTATTCATATATTGGGTTTTTATTCATCAGGTTTATTTAGAAGCTACTGCAGGTGACAAAGACTCCTTAGATAAAGAAACTTTTACCAGACTTAAAATATCAAATCCTGCCCGTCATCGTGTCTGGTGTGATCTACTCGGCTACTTGGGTTTGAAAGTCGGACAGAGTGAACCGCCAGCATTAACGCCATGCTATCTGTTATGCAAAAACAAGGTAGGTTCTGTTCAGTATTGATGTCGGTCATCTGGCGCCATTGGTGAATTGCAGGGACGTTGTCAGGGTCATTCTATAAGGAATGATGTTTAACAAATAAAGTATATTTTCCCGATCCTAAATACCTTATATGCCTGAACAATCGTCGGGGTCAGTAAAGTTTACTAAATCACCTACCAGATAATCTGTGGAAATAATAAATTTCATTTATTACTCATTAGGCTTAATTACAGATTACAGCTCCAAACGGAACTACTAGAGAATATACCTGGGACCACCCTAGGTTAACATTCTCTAAGAAAAAGGCCTCACCGAAGGGTTCACTCCCAGGGCAATTATGCACAACCCTAATAATTTGCAAATTGAAGTAATCATCGAAAGTTAAACTGTTGTGCAGAAATCTATTCTGCATTTTACTAATAAGCCACCATAGGCACTTCTGTGCGGTTGTGTCAACAGTATAGGAATACTATAGAACTATAGAATACTGTAGCATCAAAAGTCGTCAAAAATAATCAGAAGTTTTGGTGTAGTTCGTAAAAACCTAATTTTTTTTTTCTCTTATTTAATAAACTTCAGAGTTTCAAAGAAAAGCTTTTGAAGTCATTGGCAGAGAAAGTGAATGGGGACCAAATACTGAAAGGGTCACAGGTCAGCCTTCATTTTGTTGATGCAGCAAAGGATGCTGGGACTGTGTCTGCTGACCAGTTACCGGTGGTAACCAATGAAATCATGAAGTCTGGGAGTAGTTTTGATATAGATGTTTATTGGGATAATCTAAGCGCTAAGAATCTTGGTACAGTTTTGATGTATACTGAAGTAGTGCCCACCACTCAGCTCATCTTTCAAAGGTTAATTAACATTAACTTCTCTCAAAAATAGTTTTCAATACTGCCTGTTAAATACCAACAGTAGGGTGAAACTCACAATGGTCTAAACTCAGCCCACATTTCCGGCCAATCTTGCAACATTTTGTAAAAAAAAAATTTCGGAAATTTTTTTAATAATTTTAAACCAAATAGATGTACCGTAGTTTCCTATTGGATGATCAATTTTTTAAAAAAAATACTGTAGAATACTTTATTTTCGCTTGGAATTTATTTTTGCTATTTTCGCTGAAGGGATGATTCCGTGAAAATAAAATCCAGCGAATATACTTTTTTTCCTATATCTCACATTAAACTCATCAAAAACCAGTGAAAATAAATTCCATACAAAACGCCCAAAAAACCTTTTCAGCGAAAATTAATTCCAGCGAAAATAAAGTATTCCACAGTATGTCAAATGACTTTAGTATTCACAGAGTTATTGCATTCTCAGAATCTCAAGGAAGGTTTTCCTTCCGTGATGTGCTTTGCATCATGGGAAAACAAATTACAGAAGAACACAACTCAGCAAATCAAATTTGTTGCCATATTTCATCAGCTAAAATAAAATAGATGACAGACATTGATGACCAATATGACGCCAAACACTCAATAGACATAATGACTGCTTATTATTATTATCCCTCAGGATTTTTGAAATCACTTTCCAGCGAAATTGTTCATTTTTTTTATGGTATATGTATAAATGTATACAAGAACAAAATATCTGTTCTCACTTCAGTTGTCCACTTTCTTGTCAAATCCACTGTCTTAGACTAGGATATCACAGCCACATTGAACAAATTGCCTAGATTTGGCAGCCATATTGAAAATCATATGCTAATGCCCTTGAGTCAAAGTAAAGCTTTTTACAAGATTGATCCTGATTGGACTACCCAACTGTAACACCTAACAATCGGGTCAGCTAGTTTGATGACAGATAACCTGTATATACTGTAAAATGACTAAATTTCGCTGATTTACCAATTCAGGCATATTCACAGTTTTATCATTTAGATAATGTGTTCTATGCTAAATTTGACATATTCACTGGGTTTTAAATTAGCGCATTTTCCAGTCAGCGAAATAAGCAAAATTAAAACCCAGTGAATAATTAATCTTTCTACAGTATGCTTTGACTCAACTGCATACCTTTCATCACATACTTTTGTAATTTGACTCTAGAGGGCGACATTTCTAATTACAATTTTCAGTCAATTTTCGTTTTTTTTAGTTTACAGAATGTGGTACCAAAAGATATTGGTCTTATTGCAGTGGCTGGCAGCATGACTCAAGGAAAAGGTACATATATCGAAAAACACATGACATTATTTCTTTCATTTTATCTCCAACAAAAACATGAAATGATTAGAACCACATGTATTTTCAGGTCCTTTTATTTAATTTTGTTTACTAGTATAAAAATACAGCTGTATGTCATTTGATCTGATGATAGTTGCTTAATGTTTTTTCTAGGACGTGGCGGTAATACATGGTTAGGTCCATCTGGCTGTGCCATGTTCTCTCTGTTATTAAATATCCCAGTACGTACAGAGCTAGGTCAAAGGTTACCGTACTTACAGCATATAGCGTCCCTAGCAGTTGTTGAGGCTGTGTGTAACTTACCAGGTTATGAGGTAAGTGAGCGCTTTTTTATTCGCATGTTGATTTCCACATAAAGTGTAATTGAAGTGTAATACCAAGTCTCCATCTTGTTATCCTCTGGCATATAAGTGCTGGAGGCAGGGTGGCGTGGGGGGTGTTATTAAACATTTCACAATTTCCTAGACTTTACTATTAGTTTTAGGTATAATAGTACTGTATAATGACTTAATTTTCACTGGGTTTAAATTTCACTGATTTACCATTCCAGGCATATTAAGTGGGTTTTAAATTCATGGTTTTATCGCTTAGATAATGTGTTCTATGACAAATTTTACATATTCACTGGGTTTTAATTTAGTGCATTTTCTAGTCAGCGAAATGAGCAAAATTAAAACCCAGTGAATAATTAATCCTTTTACAGTAAATTACTTCTTTTATAAGCAAAAATATACATTAAAATGCCCCAATTGTGCATGTTTGTGATGATGTCATAGCAACAATAGTACCAGGATGTGTGACCCTTAGGGGTCATGAAAGTGATCTATAATCAGATAATATTCATAATACAAGTTGAATTATGTCATCATTCTCTATGTGGGTCACCTGATGGAATATGACATATATTACGTTTTTTTGTTTGATGCGAATATATTTTAATGTCCCAGATTTGACCAAGGGAATTATGGTTACAGTAAATTACTTCATTTGTATTGAGTTAATTTAGTTTGACTCTACATAAAACAACAATTTGGCTTACTCAGTGCTAGAACAGAGAATTTTGCTGAATAATTTCTACAAAATCATTTTTTGTTGTACCAAATAGTTTTGCCATTTCATTGAACAAGAAGGTTTTGTTTTCACAGGGAATAGACTTGAGGTTAAAATGGCCCAATGATATTTACTATGGCAGCGAAATGAAATTAGGTGGTGTTATCGTCAATTCAACGTATTATTCCACTGAGTTCCGTGTTGTTATAGGTAAGGTGAAAGGGCATGATATCATTCGATGATGAATGCAAAGTGGCACTATGTTGAATTTCTTTAATCTTAATCTTGTTAGCCCCCATACTTTACATTTTCTTGACCATATAGATGTGAGGGTTAAAGTAGTGTTTCTATTTTGTGGGTCCATAGCTCGTCTTTGTGATGGTATTTTAGTTATTTCTGATATATTTTGCGTCATTAAATTTGTTATTTTTGGACATTAGGACTGTTATCGACACAGACGAGCTACGGTTCCTCCCATAGACTTGCGTAAAACAATCGTGCAACACCAAATGGCATCGCGAATAAAAGTTGATAAAAGCAGAATATTTTTTTGCATCACACCATCGAAGCTATTGCCAATCGATAATATGTTTATTAAACTTTCACCAAAGTCAAAACCGTGACAAAAATCATTAGTTTGTTTCTACAGTATTATGATTCTTAACCGTAATAATATATAACTTTTCATGCAAAATTTTTGGAGATATGAAGGAATATTCCCACTATAGGATCCAGTTTGAAAATGATAATTTTTACCATTTTTTATCATATTTCGGACTCTTGTATCATCTTGTGACACCAAATTATTTTTTCATTTTCGGTATTTTGATGATATGAACTCATAATGACAGTATGACGAACAAAACATATAATTTCAAACTCGCCTCTGTCTTTCCCATTGAGTGTGTGGCACATTCACACAGGCTTTGGATTCTGTTTTGTCCTGTTGAACCCTGGGTATTATTTGAACCCTTAGTCCAGTGCAAAAACACTATGCTATCGATAACTAATAGATCATATCAGTTCACTGCGAGATCCTGTGTTATGCGTGAAATCGAACATAAAAACAGGACAAACAAAGGTCATAGTGTCGTAGTGGCGACAAATATCGCGTGGGATTCGACAAACGCGAAAGTATTTCAGGGGATATTTCCATGCTTAGTAATGTGCTATAAACATTTAATGATGGTAAATTTTGATGAAGTATCCAAATGCAACATTGCACTGACAAAGATCGGCCTTTCAATGTTAGTTACAAAATAAAGAAATTCAAGTTCAAAATCAAATTGTTTGATTTTTGCGGCAGATGTTACATGTAGGTATGCGTCTTTCAGGAAAATCACCTGTTCTAACTCAATATTTGTTACAATATTCCCTGTTTATAAATACTAAAATTACAAATTATGACATTATACTGACACTTGTGTCCAGAGATGTATAATATGCATATACTCACCATGTGTTGGTATTACAACCTCCTGGTGGGATCAAAGTAAATTAAAAACCTCATTTTATTATTTTATGTACTCCTAGGTTGTGGTTTCAATGTAAACAACAGTGACCCAACCATATGTATTAATGATATAATAGAGCAATACAACAGAGATCAGGGCACTACGTTAAAGAAGATCTCAATTGAACAGCTGATTGCACGCACTGTGTCCAACATAGAAAGTATAAACCAGGAGTTTATGGACAATGGCAAAGACTTATTTTTGTCTCGATATTATAAAAGATGGCTTCATAGGTGAGTTAGATTAGATATGCACCAGTACATGTACAATGGGAAATCAAAAAAATGATATTAGTGTGCTGAATTAGTAGCATGGTAATACGTCAGTATATAACAAATGAGATTTTTGGTTTATGTGCGTGATGTTTGAGATGTTTGCAATATAAGCCATGAGTTTAAACAGCTTGACTGGAAATCATATTTTGCTATGTTAAAATCATGATTGCCTGATTTACCCAACAAAGATCGGAAATTGAATTATTGCCTTTCTGGTTCTAGTAACTGCAAGATTTGTACTTCACTTGTCAAGGGGCATGTTGTTTAATACACAAGATATATATCTCGCATGAACAAAGATAGCGACTTCGGCCCGCAGATAAGCGATTACAAACTGACTGAAACATTACCAATTGGAAGGTATCAAAGAAGTCATTGGCAGTATTTAGTGCAAGTGGTGCCCAGGTCAAAGCTTGTCCTTGTGATTTCATTAGAAAAGCGCATTGAATTGTGGAAAAATCAATGTTTATCAACATAAATGTTGCGCATGCACAGTGCAACGGCCACTGCTCTTTAATATCTGTATGGTTCTAATTATTGCCAGCACCAGGTGCTGAAGTTGTTCAATATAGTCAAGCTTGGGAAATTTTGTCTCATAAAACAATATTACGTGAAATAGGCACCATGGATTTTGAAATTATCGTTTAATATTGTATCTTGATATAAACAATATAATATGATTTATCATTCAATAAAAATGTTGTTTTTCTGGAAAACGTGGTGATATAATGAAAAATGCAATTTGTGTACTGGTATATGTGCATGCATCCTGAAATCATAACAGATTGCATATTATATTGTTATATTTTCATATAAACAGTGATGCTAGAGTTCGTTTGGAGAGTGAGAATGGACCTGAAGTGACCGTTATTGGCCTAGATAACCATGGCTATTTGTCTGTTCGTAATGAATACAACCAATTATTGAGTGTGCAGCCGGATGGCAATAGTTTTGATATGATGAAGAATTTAATTATAACAAAGTCTCAATAAACAAGGTAAGAATTAGCTGATTGGTTGTTTTGAATTTGTTGTAGTAGCTGATTGGCTGTTTTGAAATTGTTTAAATAACTTATTGGCTGTTTTGAATTTGTTGTAGTAGCTGATTGGCTGTTTTGAATTTGTTGTAGTAGCTGATTGGCTGTTTTGAAATTGTTGAAATAACTTTTTGGCTGTTTTGAATTTGTTGAAATAACATATTGGCTGTTTTGAATTTGTTGTAGTAGCTGATTGGCTGTTTTGAATTTGTTGTAGTAGCTGATTGGCTGTTTTGAAATTGTTGAAATAACTTTTTGGCTGTTTTGAATTTGTTGAAATAACTTATTGGCTGTTTTTGAATTTGTTGAAATAACTTATTGGCTGTTTTTGAATTTGTTGAAATAAATCATTGGCTGTTTGGAATTTGTTGTAGTAGCTGATTTGCTGTTTTGAATTTGTTGTAGTAGCTGATTGGCTGTTTTGAATTTGTTGTAGTAGCTGATTGGCTGTTTTGAATTTGTTGTAGTAGCTGATTGGCTGTTTTGAATTTGTTGTAGTAGCTGATTGGCTGTTTTGAATTTGTTGTAGTAGCTGATTGGCTGTTTTGAATTTGTTGTAGTAGCTGATTGGCTGTTTTGAATTTGTTGTAGTAGCTGATTGGCTGTTTTGAATTTGTTGTAGTAGCTGATTGGCTGTTTTGAATTTGTTGTAGTAGCTGATTGGCTGTTTTGAATTTGTTGTAGTAGCTGATTTGCTGTTTTGAATTTGTTGTAGTAGCTGATTGGCTGTTTTGAATTTGTTGTAGTAGCTGATTGGCTGTTTTGAATTTGTTGTAGTAGCTGATTGGCTGTTTTGAATTTGTTGTAGTAGCTGATTGGCTGTTTTGAATTTGTTGTAGTAGCTGATTGGCTGTTTTGAATTTGTTGTAGTAGCTGATTGGCTGTTTTGAATTTGTTGTAGTAGCTGATTGGCTGTTTTGAATTTGTTGTAATAGCTAATTGGCTGTTTTGAAATTGTTGAAATAACTTTTTGGCTGTTTTGAATTTGTTGAAATAACTCATTGCCTGTTTTGAATTTGTTGTAGTATCTGATTGGCTCTTTTGAATTTGTTGCAATACCTGATTGGCTCTTTTGAATTAGTTGCAATACCTGATTGGCTGTTTTGAATTAGTTGCAATACCTGATTGGCTGTTTTGAATTAGTTGTTAATAGCTGATTGACTGTTTGAAATATGCATGAGCTGTGATTGCCTGTTTATTAATATTTTTTTTTTTCATATTTGAAAATTTCAAATAGTTGATTACATTGTATCATGAAATTCCAACAATTACCTTTCTTCTAGAAAGTTAATCATTTACACCTTTATCCCTGTTCTATGAATATCAACCACAAGTGATTGTTATAGCCCCCTCATGAGTCCATTTAAGAAAATCTCTGATTCTAGATCTGGAAGGAGACTGCCCTCTACAGTTGTGAGGTTTGAATGCATGGCTTTACTTTCAACTAATATTCCAATTAAAGACACATTAGCTGTAACTTTGTAGCAATTATTAATTTTTTTCAACCCAGCATTTAGTTATAATATCTATACTTTTTCATCACAACCTCATTTACTTAACACCCTGGATACTCAACTCCAACAATCATGTTTCAGGTGGCTGGCGCCAATACATTATTATACAAAATTGTACAAATAGCAATTTTTACTTTGTGTCAGATTAGGGGGAATATTACGTTTTTTTGGGAAAAACAAAATTGTGAAATGAGTTGCTTTGTCTTTGATTCACACAACACTTTTACAATGACGAAACTGAAATAAAATTTAAACAAATATGCAAATTTTATTCTAACATTGTTTATATACCATCTGTATTTATAATGTAAAAATTATTATAGTCCGTTAGAACACAGTCAAAGTCAAAATCTTCATCATCATCTTCGATTGTGTTTGATCATACACAAACTTTTGTTGCAAAGCAATTTTTCCATAATATTTTCTGAATCATTTGACCTGCAACAACGTCCTTTGACCTAATAGGTCAAGTCTGTTATTTACCAATATGAATGCTTTGTTGTACTGACGTAATGCCCCAAGTATGCATTCTTGTAATGCAAAGCGAAAGTGAATTACCAATTTTGAAGTATGATCTTTTGGAAATAAAGCCATAATATTTTTCAAAAATTCATGATTAGCATTTGTCTGGAAAAAAATATTTACTGTAAAATACTTTATTTTAGTGAAACTAATTTTCGCTGAAAAGACTCTGGGTGTTTTGTATGGAATTTATTTTCGCTGATTTTTGATAAGTTGAACATAAAATATAGGAAAAAAAGTATATTCGCAGGATTTTAATTTCACTGAATCATTTCTTCAGTGAAAATAGCAAAAATTAATTCCAAGTGAGAATAAGGTATTTTACAGTATTTATCATTTTTCACTGTCATCAACAGATTATTGTCAAAAAATACAATATTTATGGCAGTCAATATCCATGCTGTATTGATTACTAGTATTTGGAAAAGCTTAACAATGTCCAAAAACCAGGTTTTATGACTAAACGGTTAAATATGGTACATTTCAGAAAAAAAATTGCTATTTAGTCAAATGTGACCTCAAAAATATAAAGGCCCCAAATGTAGGTAGTACTTGGTGCTTAGTCAAGCTTGGGTGCTAAATTAGACTACAGTATTTGATTTATATACAACTCATGAGAAGACAAAATAGTAATAAATATTCATAACAGTCAGGGAAAAATAAAAATAAAAATGTTGAGGTGGTTTATTCAATGGTACAACTTATGTTCAATATTTGCCTTTTCACTACCAGACGTCTCACCAGTGGTGGTGAAAAAATTAATACATTTATCCTATATTGCTTTGCAATCACTTAACTTCCTCTGAAACAGAAAACAAACATTTCAGCATTCTACCATACATGGCACACTTTTCTGGAGCACAATATTGCAAAATCTGTGATCAGTATATCTTGAGTACAAATCCCTCCTCGGGTTCAACTTTCAACCCTGGAGTGTGTGTGTTACAATTACACAAAGGAAGGCCAGAACCACTGTACCCTGGGTGAGTGTGCTATAGACTCAATGGGAAGGCAAACCCCACTGTACCCTGGGTGAGTGTGCTATAGACTCAATGGGGAGGCAAACCCCACTGTACCCTGGGTGAGTGTGCTGTAGACTCAATGGGAAGGCAAACCCCACTGTACCCTGGGTGAGTGTGCTATAGACTCAATGGGAAGGCAAAAGCCACTGTACCCTGGGTGAGTGTGCTATAGACTCAATGGGAAGGCAAACCCCACTGTACCCTGGGTGAGTGTGCTATAGACTCAATGGGAAGGCAAACCCCACTGTACCCTGGGTGAGTGTGCTATAGACTCATTCGGAAGGCAAACCCCACTGTACCCTGGGTGAGTGTGCTATAGACTCAATGGGAAGGCAAACCCCACTGTACCCTGGGTGAGTGTGCTATAGACTCAATGTGAAGGCAAACCCCACTGTACCCTGGGTGAGTGTGCTATAGACTCAATGGGAAGGCAAACCCCACTGTACCCTGGGTGAGTGTGCTATAGACTCAATGGGAAGGCAAAAGCCACTGTACCCTGGGTGAGTGTGCTATATACTCAATGGGAAGGCAAAAGCCACTGTACCCTGGGTGAGTGTGCTATAGACTCAATGGGAAGGCAAAAGCCACTGTACCCTGGGTGAGTGTGCTGTAGACTCAATGGTAAGGCAAAAACCACTGTACCCTGGGTGATTGTGCTGTAGACTCAATGGTAAGGCAAAAACCACTGTACCCTGGGTGATTGTGCTGTAGACTCATAGGGAAGACAAAAGCCACTGTACCCTGGGTGAGTGTGCTATAGACTCATAGGGAAGACAAAAGCCACTGTACCCTGGGTGAGTGTGCTATAGACTCAATGGGGAGGTCAAACCCACTGTACCTTGGGTGAGTGTGCTATAAACTCAATGGGAAGGCAAAAGCCACTGTACCCTGGGTGAGTGTGCTATAGACTCAATGGGAAGGCCAAAGCCACTGTACCCTGGGTGAGTGTGCTATAGACTCAATGGGGAGGTCAAACCCACTGTACCCTGGGTGAGTGTGCTATAAACTCAATGGGAAGGCAAAAGCCACTGTACCCTGGGTGAGTGTGCTATAGACTCAATGGGAAGGCCAAAGCCACTGTACCCTGGGTGAGTGTGCTATAGACTCAATGGGGAGGTCAAACCCACTGTACCCTGGGTGA